TGTCCCCGTGTCGGTGCACTATTTGAAGTAGTTTTAGGGTCGAGGTGTCGTGATTTTGCCACAGACTTACTCTTTGTATTACCGATGAACACAATATCAAAATAAGTGATTCTCTTATGAACAACATATGGAAAATATTTTGTTAGCAAGTTAAAAATTAAAATTAAAAGCATATGACATACAGTATGTTATAATTTATTACACAAAGAGATGAGAATGAAATGCTATTTATATAAGGTGTCAATTATTTAATTAATCTATTATTTCAAAATATTTATTATGTCTAATAAATAGCGTACCATTTTACGAAACTTTCGTATAAATGCAGTTAAATAATTATATAATTTTTTTAAATAAAATTACTGTCATATAACTACTGTATATAATTTTACTTACCGTTTAATTTTCTGTAAAATATACAGTATTTTATAATAACTTATAAAATATTATTGTATACCATTATCGCACATTTTCACTTAATATCCTATGACTTTGACCAGAATTTACTGCATTTGATATTCTCTCGCAAACATTTATACATTTACTATACAATTGCGAAACAATTATCTGATTTTCATTTTTATATTAAATTCAGTTAACTCAGAAAATAAATGTAATTTATAAAAAAAAGTTTAAAATATTTATTTAATGTTTTAAAAGGTATACACTATTACTGAATTAAAAATTATAATGTACATTACAATATAATATAATATTACAATATAACAATAGTTTTTATATAAAATTCATAAATAAATAATTATTTTATACAGTACATACTATATACAATAATTTATATTTCAGTTTGTTTTAATGCTTTTAATTATAATAAAATAAAACAGAAAATACTAGAAATTAACAAAATTAAAGTTAAAAATGAATTCATCATAATCTGTGCGCTACCAGAAAGACCACATTCTTTATACCAGTCATCAGGGATTAGCTTTTGAGACAATTCTCTGTACTTTTCAATGGGACAGTCGTCCTGATACTCGCATTTAGGTATTTGTAGTAAATGTGTACCACTTTCTGTGTTAAACGTATCGTTATTATAATAAAGTCTCACAAAATATTCATTAGATTTCTGGTGTAATTCAAACAGAATGGTTGCTCCGAAGGGTATGAGCTGTTTGTTGTGGACATCCAATGCCTGCAATAGGTTTATGACATTTCCGTCGTGTGTCGAGTAATGAAACAATTTTTTAAACCCCTTTTCATTTGAATTCTCGGCTTTTATTTTATTCTCGAAATTCTTCAACAATTCTTGTATTAGAAGTCCGGCTCTCGTCCGATGAGTGACCGTTGAATTATACCTACCTTTCCAGTTATAAGTAGCAAAATCTCGGGTAATATTCAGTACTGTCTGTTCATAATCGGCAGACATTAACCCATATTGTGACCACTTGTGTCCCCTCTTGAGTTCAATGGAAAGGGTGTCATAAAAGTCAGTCAACCGTCTGATTGAATTCATATCACTCCAACGATTGCACTTAAATTGGACACAAAAACTTTGTTCGCATCCAATAGTTCTCTACTGTCCTCTGAGTGGTCAAAGTTATGCTCAAAATCATCGGCCAAAGGGCACATGTCGTCTGTGCGTAACATATGGTCGTCATCCATGTGCTCCATGGGATATGTGTATATAGGGAAAGGCTGCCAAACTCGACCCAACTCAGCGTCCGACCCCTTATCCCACTGCCAGATATCATTGATGGGAGGGTAGGCACCGGCCAACACCATTGTGGCCGACTCTAAACACCGACTCTTTGCCGAACTTCTAGTATATACTTCTCGAGGACTATTGTTTGGACCCAAATATGGGTTATACTCGTGTCGTATAAGTTGACCCAATCTATACATCCGATACTTCCCGTCAGCAAACAGTTCGCCCACACCTTCGGGCCAATACTGGTCCACATCCTTCTCGTACGGATCGTTAGGAAAGTCATTGTTTTCGATATTTCTGTCTCCGTGTCGGTGCACTATTTGCAACAGTTTTAAGGTTGAGATGTCGTGGTTTGGCCATAACATAGCTGATTGTATAAGCATTGACCACATTATCACAACTGTGTTTATTTTAAATGAACTCATAATTGAATAAATATTAAATTTTTATAAAGCATTTGAGAAATACAATGTGATTAAATGACAATTATTATTATTAATTTTGCTTACATTTTAAAGTTATTTTATACTTTGTTAATAAGACGTTCAGTGTACTAAACTAATTATCTTTTATTATTGATTTTTATTTTGATGAAAAAATGTATGTGAATTTGTTTGTGCCCTTGGTGTTTAAGTTCAGAATAATAATATAAATCAAGTAAATTAGTATATTTTATAACTTTCTTTTAATTAAAATAATGAAATTAAAATACTGTACATAAACTACAGTACAATATTTGGGAAAGAGTTTGAAATATGAAGGGTATGTTGGAGGTGTGTCACGATTTAACCAATTATTTAAGTTTAATTTTAATTACTGTATATTGTAAAAATTACTGATTGCTTATCGTAACTAAATTGCACTTTAATTTCAAAAATATTTAACATTAAACATAAATTTTATCTGTATTTGAATTAGTTTAGTCGCAGTACAATAAATTATAAATTAAATTAAATAATGTTTTATATTAATTCATTTACATTGTTCTGTACTGAACTAGCAAAATATTTTTATTATTGTACTATTATTTAATATTTCATATTAATTTATTTTTAATTCAAAATAAACTTCAATTTTACGATGTTCATTTATGGTTATAAAATAGTTAATTTCTAATCAGATAATTGAGAAATTGTTTGCGTAGTATACACTAAAGTTTAGTGACTAAACTGCTCCCGTACATATAAAATAAAATTATATTGTAGCAGTTATAAAGTGTTTTGAAGTGAATTACAGCGACAGTGAGTTAGTTAACAATTTTATTAAACTATTTTTGCTGTTAAGTAATTATTAATATTTGTAAAGTTTTGATACACAATATATTATTCACTTCAAAAACATTTCTCTGAAAAAAACAGATGAAAAGTTTTAATGAAAAGTTTAAGTTCACAGAAAGTTAACCCCTATATGAATAATATATGTGTAATGAGGACTGACATATATGGGAACCACTGATTTTTAAGCACCACTTATACTAAAACAACAATAAAATTATAATTTTTATAATTAAATAACAAACTATAGAGAGCATTTAGCTTTAAGTTTTTAATTAAATCAAAACATTTCTATTGTATTCATCAAAAAATTAAAGCAAACATTAAACATTTATGTGTTTTGTTGTTAAAACTTGTTTTCTTAGAAAAATAGTGAAAGTTAAGAGAAAAGTATAATTCAGTTATTGTCTCAGAGATTACTTTCTTCCGCATATGATATCCGATTCACTCATGAGTTTTGACTTATAATCATGAATAGTATGCGCAACAAGTTATTCACTATATTTGTGTATCAATTGATTTATTTGTATGCAATCAAGTCATGGGCTGTCAGTGAATGCGAGTTCACGACTGACCCCCAAAACCGGAACGGCTTCTGCACTTTGGATCAGTTCTGTTGCAAAGGCTTTGCTGTCAATAATCTCTGCTCTAATGGCGGTGTCTGTTGTTATGGCACTTATGACTGCTCTTCAGATTCAAGTCAGACATTGATTGCTAAAAATTTAATACTAAAAACTAACTCATATTTGCGGTTCCCCTGTAGACCCCAGTGTACAGCAAACTGTGAGCCCCTGTCCATCGATAATAGGCCGCCAGCGATGGAAAGCTAGGAATCCGTCGAAAATGATCGCTAGTATAGCACCGGCTGAGCATATATTCATTCATCACACGGACGACGGAAATACATGTTATAGTGAGGACTCGTGTGCCCTCAGGATCCGATCCCTTCAGAGCTATCATCAGCTGAACAAAGGCTGGACAGACATCGCCTGGAATTTCATTATCGGTTTGTCATTAAATGATTTAACTTATATTTTATTAACTTTTTTGTGTAACTAATAGGAGGTAACGGACAGGTGTTTGAAGGTCTGGGTTGGACTAAAGAGGGTTTCCATACCCTTGACTGGAACCACAACTCCATAGGCATTGCATTCATCGGTAATTTTAATGACGAAAAGCCGTCCGAAGAGATGTTGGACTCACTCCACAATCTGATAGCTTGTGGTCTAAGGAATGGCTTTCTTCGCAAACATTACAAAATTCATGGGCACCGGGATGTGAGGGAGACTTCGTGTCCGGGCGAGTACCTGTACAGGTATATTAATAAGCTCACTCATTTTCAAGCCGGGCCACTTGATTCAGATAAGAAAGTTAAACAAAATTATAATCTAAAGTTTAAATTTAATAATTAATTTTGTTTTAAGCATATAATACAATATTAATTAAAATTTTAATAAAAGTTTATTTATGTTTTAAATCTACTAACGATGTTCAATAAATAATTATTGTATTTTAAACAGTGAATACAAATAAAGTAATTTAATTTAAATTAATTTAAGATTTTATATTATTTTTAATATCTAATTTAAGTGCTTTTTAAACTTGCTTAGTTTGTCAATTAAATCCATACCATCAGTACATTTGGCACTAATTTGAGGCCAATATTTGCGATGATCTGCGATCCAAGACATCTGTTTCAAGTACTGATCATCGCATACGAGTCGACACTTTATCTCAATAGAGTTGCTGTCGTTTTCATCCAATAGTGGCGTTAAATATGTCTGATTTAGGCGGTAATCGCAGACCTTATAAGTACTTTCGGCTATAATAGTGAAAATGAGGGGTCGATTGGCGCCTACAAAGGCATTGCGGTCCACATCTGTCGACAATAGTTTGTCTGAAGTGAAAGTCAGTACCAGTTTGCGAGCCATTGGTTGCTTAACCTTAGTTTTGAAAGCAAAGCCTTTTATTGCATGAAGTCTTACGACAGAGAAGTCTATGCTTTCTAATTGCGATAACTCCTCAAAAGCATTACTTCCTATGCTTTCGATCGCATTATTCAAGTCTGACAACAAAAGTATCATAAATTAAATTCAATAAACTTATCAAAAAGTTAGCAAAACATGAATCCCATTGAAAAGTGTTTAAAAAACATTACAAACCCAATCCATTAGACAAATAAATATGTTTTAACTTCATGTCCGGTGCACCGAATGACCGAAAGGCATAGTCCGGGAAAATTAATTTTTCAAATGAGTGTATCTTAAGTGACGTTAATTGAGACAAATGTATGATTGAGTGAAACACATCGGACCAAAACACGACAAACTCGTGTCCACTTTCAAACTGAGGTCTGAGCTCCAGGTCCAGCAACTGTACGGTGTCTGTCGTGCCGTAAAATATATGCGGACTAAAAGTGGTAACTGATTCGCAGTCTCCGATCGTAATGTCGGTGAAGTGGATGTCTTCAAACAAATTACTTCTTAACTCTTGTGAATGGCATTCAGTTATCTCTAGTTTAGTGAAATATCTAAGCGTATGATGCAATTGATTGGCTATTTTGGCGAATATTAACTTCAGATTGTAGTCGGAATTGCATTCAATTAGATTCCTGTCGTCGAAACACATACATGTGGTCACGTGTTTGCCCTTTTGTAAGGTGTAGTTACTTTCAACGCAATTACCACTATGAGCTGGGATAATTACTGAAGAAAATAAAATTATTTTCAAAAGTAAAAATATATTTTTATGAAATAAAGACATTGTGAATCTTTAAAAGTTTAATGAATGGAAATGAAAATTTATGAATAAAATAATATTTTTATATGTGTTATGTTAATGCAGTAATCTATTTTTTGATAAATGTTTATCTTTGACATATAATTTGAGTGCTATACAAACATAATAAAGAATTTATTTAAAAGGATTAGTATCAATTATACTGTATAATCCATGTTAAGAGTTAAATAATACTACATTTGTATTACAAATAAATGTCATAAAACAATGAGAATATAAGTGAGACCACAGAAGTATACCATAATTTCAACAATTAATTGTGATAACAAACTTTTGATTTGCATTTATTTATGCAAGCATTTCAAACTATAATTATGTTTCACATAAAGATTATCAAAACTAATAAGCTTAATTAATGAGTGAATAATTATCAAACTAATAATAAGATTTACATTTAATATAATTATTTAACGTGAGAAAATCATCTGAATATTTATAGCCTAAATTATTTTTATGTGGGTTTTATTGTAATTACACATGTCAAATGTGTTCACAATTAACGGTTGACAAAAATTAACAAAAATATGAAAACACAATTTAATTAATTACAAATTACAAATACTGTACAATAGTTTTACTCATATTTATAAAATATAGATTATAAATATAATATTTATATAATTTACCAAAGAATTAGTATCCAATAACTATATCATGAACTTTATTATTAGGAAAATATTGATTATATTTATATTTAAACCAAATCCATACGACGCTAATATTGTTTATAAACCAAATGATGAAGTCTTTGCCATTAGTGCCAAACCATAGACTAAACAGTCCTCCAGTATATGACATATAGTCTGTTAGTGACATAACCGGTTCCTCCCGATAGACATAAAGGGGTTGAGTTGTGTCCCAAACTAATGACTGTTTGTTAAACAACTGAACAGTATTTATATTATTTTGTGATATGAATTTTGCATTATACTCGACACTTAAACAATCTTTAGGGCAGTATTTTAAACATTTTTCTTTAACAAGGTCAATTTTATCATCGAATAAGAAATTTAAAAAAATATGGCTAAATTTTTGGTTTAAAACTTTGTCAAAGTCTAATTCATTGACATATCTATCTATGAAAAGTGGATTCATTTTATAAATACTTTTAGTATATTTTCTGACACAACGTCTCACACAATGATTGTGTGAATTGGCATCAAATGGTTGTCCGCCACTCGAGCCGTCATAATAACTACAGTTCCCGTGAGGGCTGGTTAGCAGTGTTTTGACGATTTTTGTGATAATAATCGTATGACTGACTGAACTAAGAGGCAGCAGATTGTTGAGTACATATACATCATCTGAATAGTGATGTGAATGAAACAGAATCTTTGACATATAATTTGAGTGCTATACAAACATAATAAAGAATTTATTTAAAAGGATTAGTATCAATTATACTGTATAATCCATGTTAAGAGTTAAATAATACTACATTTGTATTACAAATAAATGTCATAAAACAATGAGAATATAAGNCGTACCGGTGCCGGCAAGTCGTCCATCATATCAGCCCTGTTCCGGATGGTGGAGCCCAGGGGTGAGGTGGTGGTGGACGGCGTGGACACCAAATCGATAGGTTTGCATGACTTGAGGCGCAACATCTCAATCATACCTCAGGATCCGGTGGTCTTCACGGGTCCGGTGCGCAGAAATTTGGACCCTTTCGGCGAATACACGGATCACTTGATATGGAGTGCCTTAGAGGAGGTGCAGCTCCGACACGCCGTTCAGGACCTGCCCGGACAACTGGACGGCCTACTGAGCGAAGGGGGCAGTAATCTGAGCGTAGGTGAGCGCCAATTGGTGTGTTTGGCTCGAGCTATACTCCGCCACAACCGCCTACTAGTGCTCGACGAGGCGACCGCTAATGTGGACCACCGGATGGATGCCTTAATTCAGACCACAATTCGCCGCAAATTCAGTGACTGTACGGTCATTACGATCGCTCACAGACTCAACACTATTATAGACTGCGACCGCGTTTTGGTATATAAAACAATATGAAATAGTATCTGTTATATAACATATCCAATGATCAATTTGATATTATCCATCCCTTCCCTCCCATTCCCTTCCTATCAGGCGTTAGACGCGGGAGAGATCGTCGAGTTTGACGAACCCTTGGCTTTACTTCAACGGAGGGGACAGTTGTACGACATGTGCAGAAAGACCGGCGAAGATATGTTCAACCATTTGATGCATTTGGCCAAAGAGTCACATCTCAAGAGGTCTACCATTAGTGAAGTGCTGGAGGGACCGGAGACAGGGATTTGAGTGCTGACCATATGACCATGGCAATTGTATCTCAACAAATAAATAAACAGCAAATATATTAAGTAAAATATTATTTGTGATATTATGTGTTGAGTTAATGTTTAAATCTTCAAACCATCTGTATTTTCTACATGAAGTTCGAGTGCAATGCAAATACTGTATAATTATTATTATTTGTTTCAAATAAGATTACTTTAATACACGACAAGTTTTACATAAAATTTTAGTAGTACTACAAATATTTGTAATTGTTGATCAATAAATTTAATAAGTGTAACAAATATATGAAAACACAATTTAATTAATTGCAAATTACAAATACTGTACAATAGTTTTACTCATATTTATAAAATATAAGTTATAAATATAATATTTTTATAATTTACCAAATCATTAGTATCCAATAACTATATCATGAACTTTATTATTAGGAAAATATTGATTATATTTATATTTAAACCAAATCCATATGACGCTAATATTGTTTATAAACCAAATGATGATGTCTTTGCCATTAGTGCCAAACCATAGACTAAACAGTCCTCCAGTATATGACATATAGTCGGTGAGTGACATAACCGGTTCCTCCCGATAGACAAAAAGGGGTTGAGTTGTGTCCCAAACTAATGACTGTTTGTTAAACAACTGAACAGTATTTATACTATTTTGTGATATGAATTTTGCATTATACTCGACACTTAAACAATCTTTAGGGCAGTATTTCAAACATTTTTCTTTAACAAGGTCAATTTGATCATCGATTCGGAAATTTAAAAAAATATGGCTAAATTTTTGGTTTAAAACTTTGTCAAAGTCTAATTCATTGACATATCTATCTATGAAAAGTGGATTCATTTTATAAATACTTTTAGTATATTTTCTGACACAACGTCTCACACAATGATTGTGTGAATTGGCATCAAATGGTTGTCCGCCACTCGAGCCGTCATAATAACTACAGTTCCCGTGAGGGCTGGTTAGCAGTGTTTTGACGATTTTGGTGATAATAATCGTATGATTGACTGAACTAAGAGACAGCAGATTGTTGAGTACATAAACATCATCTGAATAGTGATGTGAATGAAACAGAATTTTCTGAAAACTATTTATGTGGTTATAAATTGTTAAGAAATTAGCGCCTTGGTCAATAATCAATGTTTCATTTATATACAAAGTTCTTAATCTTAATAAACTTGTAATAAAATAGTAACTATTCACTGATTTTAGGAAATCAAGGCTAATATTTCTTTTAGTTTGCAAATATAAACTATTCATTACTGTATCATTGGATGCCATAAATAATTGTGTATTAAATGTAGAATATTTTGTTGTATTAAAAACACATTGTTGTCCATAATTATTAATACAATCCTGTAAGCCAGGTATGTTTAAAAAAATTGCGACATCATTATCAGAGACTAATGAAATGAAAGGATAATTATTGTCCGATTCATAGCTTTTGGTGTCAATTATAATATGGGATTTAAATGAGAAGTAATGCATTGATATGTCGTATAATTGGTGTGCAAGTAATGCCGTTAATAAAGCGGTTACCATGCGCTAATTATAAAGTAAATTATTATTAAAAATATATAATAGTAATAATTAATAATAAATCATTATTATCTATAACATACCTTTAAATGAACTCTTAAATTAAACAATTTTAAAAAATTATAAAAATGATTTCTGTAGGCATGTTGCCTAAATCGGTAATAATTATTGATGTTGTTGCCAATAAATGTAATTAAATCCTGTAGTAAACCAATGAAACTGATTCCGTGCCATAAACTTAATATATTTGCTATACTTATCACCAGATCTATGAATAAGTATTTTGCGGAATATATTATTGATATATAAAACTTGTGGTTTAACTGAAATTTATAGTAAATCGACTTCTTGTCAATTGTATTAGGTGAATTATTAGGTGAGTTGATTATGTGAAATAAATATAAATCATCACTACATGATACAGGACATTTATGTTGGCAATACTCTTCAATATTAGTGTTTAAGTCACTTTTGTTGTTAATATAATAATTGTGGCAAAATGTAACATTTGGTTCAATGAAGTTATTGTATCCATAAGGTAATTGAATGGTTAGCAAGCTATTATATTTGGGAACACAATTAAAATGATCCTGATATGCTTTTTGATAACATTTATTTAAACAATGAAATTGTGTTTCATTTCCCATATATTCATAACATCGCGTGTCGTATGGTTTGGGCAGTCGTTTGAATGAATATTTAATAATTTTAATGATTTTATTTTCATAGTTTGAGTCGCCTTTCAATTGAATGACACTATCAAAAACTTTTGGTAAAGCATTGTTTGAATGGATTATAAACTTTTTGCGCAAATAATTAATGATATTTTGTTGGCCATCCGCACCACGATTTTCTCTAAAATCAACACTATATTGAAATTCATTCCTCACGTCATTTGTTCTGATATTTGGTAAAAATGTGTTACATTTACCGAAAGGGGATATCATTTTGAGAATAGGTCTGAAGAAGTCACATTCGTATTGATTATCAATTGTACAGAATATATGACTCGAATAGAATTTGAGCTCATTTTCAGTCGATTCCAGAATATTCTCGTTAATTGTCTGCAAATTCTGTTTCAATTCATTTTGTGATTTCACGTCAAAATACTTGTGTAGAAATTCGCTGTATTTTTTGCTATCTATTCTCTTATAATCATATGGATCTGTATCTGAATTTATATTTGTAAAACCATTATATAGAGTATAATATTGTAAAATTCGTTTTATATATTTCCCTGTTGAATCTAATGTACTATTAGTTATACTTTTCGAAACATCAGAATTTGGATCTATGTACTTGTTTATTAATGTTGTAATATAATATTGTCTAATATAGGGATCAAAGAAAATATCTTCAAATGTGTTTTCATAGCATAAAGTGATGGCAGGTATTGATTGCAACGATATTTTGTTATCCATTTCCTTGTATTCAATCATTTCAATAGAGGTTTGCGTTGAAAATGATAAGTATTTGTCAATTAATATATAAATCTGATAACAAATTATGGGCAATGTTAGACATATCATACATTTTCTCAATTTATATTTTAAAAGTATTTTGATTAATTTGTTTATATTTTGAATGATTTTTAATATAAATAGTTTTAGTTGGATATTCATATAATAATTAATTATATTTCTAATAGAGTTTAATACGAGTCTAATGAGAGCACTGGTATCTACGAAAGACATCCCAAACCACAAACCAATGAGTCCTCCCATATGTGACAGATAGTCAACGAATGAATACTTTTTCTCAGATTTGTAGTGAAATTCTTGACTTATTTTATGTTTAATTGTAATTTTGCTGTCATTTTGTGCAGAATATGTGTTGTCTTCCAATTCTAACGAATAGTATATTTCGTGACAATTCTTAACACATTTATCGTTACAATAGTCTGTATTAACAGAATATTCTGTATTATTATGACCACATATTCTATACTGTGTTTGACTCGCATTCATAAGAATAAACTCCTCATTGATGTAAGGATTGGGTAAACATTCAAATGAATTGTTGTAAAGATTTTCAATACATTTTGCATAACATTTACCTACACTTTCACCTAAATCTACAAAACATTTATTTAGTATTAGTTATAAAACTAACAATAAAATGATTTTTACCCTCACTTTGCAGACATTCATTCATATAAGGCGTTGAAATGAGATGAAAATGAGTGGTCGTTATCTTCAATCTTGCGTTTAATCCAATTCTGTTGGTCTGAATCGATGTCTCCTTCGATACCATCAATGGTTTGTTCATTTGAAAGGCAAATAAATGCATAACAAATAACTCGTTAGACTTCGTTACTCCGGACTCTTTGTCGTAATTATTGCTAATATTAATTAAAAACTTTTGTTGCGTTTCGTAATTAATGTCAAATTGAATGAAGTCGCCGTCAATGAGATAATAGTTATCAGTATTTGTATAGAAATACGTGAAACATATTCCAAGTCTTTATTATTAATATTAGCAATAATTACGACAAAGAGTCCGGAGTAACGAAGTCTAACGAGTTATTTGTTATGCATTTATTTGCCTTTCAAATGAACAAACCATTGATGGTATCGAAGTCTTTATTCCCATAAATAGTCTCCAAAACGGCATAACTTTGCAAACAATCAGTAATTACTTGAGAATCACTGCTATTATTGTTATTATAATTAGTTTTATGCTTAAAATACGAGCACTTTATGAGTTCATTAGCTTTTATAGTGAACTTATCATATAATTCACAAAATGTATAGTTTGTAAGTAATTCTTTCATATATTCACTATTAGATTGATTTAAAACATCTTTATTTTTAAAATAACTTTTAAACCGTGTTTTATCTAAATATACACCACTATCGGTACATATAGTAATCGGCGGTAAAACTAGTCTTTCATTTAGTTTAACACTCAGTCGATAAACATATGGATAACTGAAGTACTCTTTTGTCACTTCTATTCCCATTAGGAATAGCACTGAAAGACATAACACTTTCACCAAAAGTTTTATATAGGATTTGAATGTAAACCTAATTTTACTTTTTAATTCAAATACTATATATTTAATACAATTAATTAGATATAAACACATATCTAACAATATATTCATCTGGTTATAAATTAATCTTATAAATACATAGAATTTCTCCATAATTAACAAAATAAGATATTTCAATATGAACAAATAAAAATCTACGTGATTTAGCAGATTTTATGTATCCAATGTAACAAACTATTATACCTTAATTTGTATTGTAAACTATATATTATATAAAACATAATATAATAATAATAGTTAATAGTACAATCTAAGCCTTAGACTCTAAGGGTTTAATATTGATTTTAGGTTTATATTGTTTGATACAAAATATACTCATACTGTAAGTACCAAAATAAATATGAGAAAATTAATTCAAATTATATCAACAGAACTACCAAACACAATACATTAAACAAATATAATAAAGTATTTATTTAGCATATTATTTTCATCTCCGTTATTAAATATGTACAATTCACATTTTTATATTTATAATTATTTTTGATTTGCATAAAATGTAAATTTAATCTAATAAATTAATAAATGTAATAATAAGTAATATTATTATAATTAGGATCTTGA